ATATTCCGCGAAATGACTTTTAGAAAAAATTTATAAATATTCCGTTGTTTCTTAAATTACATTGTCACTCATAATAAAGAATTTTTTTTCTTTTGCAAATAGCAACGCACCAAGGGAAGAGAACAGTGCAGTGAAATAATTTATGCCCACGCTATTTGCGACAAGTACTCGTTTATGAATTACATAGTATATAAAAAAAAAAGTTTCACCTTTTGTTCCCTGTCACGGTTATGTGAATGCTTTATGTTCTTCTTCCATACTCTGTTGGTATTGAAATCATCGTGAACACTTGTGGTTTAAAAGTAATACTGCACGTTCTAAACCCAGGAGAGAGAGGGGTGGGGCGTGTCATGTGCTTACTCGAAGACGGTGAGAGTTTTGATAACATTGTCTTGATACACGCAATTATTTACACATGAATGTTCCTCACTTATGAGTTCCGAAATGAACCGCTGATGTAGGAATAGAACATCCTGTTGAGTCGATTCAATTTTTAAGCAAGTTCGGTAGTCGTATCCAGAATCACATCAGTTAGAGCAGTGTTCCCCAACCTTTTTTAACACCGCGGACCTTTCAACGTAGGGGGGACGACGACGTTGATTGCTTATATTTTAGATTATTTCGATTTATTAATTTTAATTTAATTGTATTTAAACATGCCTTCAAAATAAAATACAGTTACACCAAAAAATAAATATAAAGTGATATAACATTTTAACTTACTAGAACGTCAAATCAATGAGAACCCTGAGCTTGTTTTTTTGCAATGAGACGGTTCCACCTGGGGTTAATCGGAGACAATGACACCCAAAGTGTGTTGCTTATGTCCAGTTTATTCCGTTGCTTTGTTTTGGTTGCTGCTACTGTTTTTCATTAGTTCCAATGTAAATTTCGCGCCGCGCTTTCGTGTTTTATTTATGATATTTACAGTTATGAAATACTACTATTTCAACTCTATGGTTCAGACAGCTTGTGAAAGGTCCGGTTTTCGTGAAATTGTGAAAAAATTACTCACATTCTTTCAACCAGGGTCCTGCTTTTATGAATTTGCGCAAATAGGGTCCGGTTATTGCAAAGAACTTTTTCAAGGAGTTTTTAAATTGTAAATAGATACAATAATATGCTCGGCACTGTAAATTTATTATAAAAAAATTAAATTTTCAAAAATAAACAGCAATTGCTGCTTCTAAATTAGAAATGCAACATACAAATATATGGTATTTAGCTGAATGCAGAATATTCATTTCGGACGAATAATGGAAGAATCGTCTGACGAAGACAAAACTTTTTTCGTTTACATCCATCCTTCTTGTTTTCTGCCCTGGGAAGGGTTTATTCAATTAACAAAACAATATTGAATATAAACAAATTTGTGAAAGGTCCGATTAAAAGAAAAATCATTTTGTAAAGTTCCGTTTTTAAGTTAAAATATTTTGTGAAGGGTCCGTTTTTATGAAAAGATATTTTGTGAAGGTTCCGTTAATGGACACAAATTTCTTCTAAACAGACCCCTGATACTAATATCCATTTAAAATTAAAAATTCTTGTCTTCTAAAATGAAATAATAATTGTGATCCGTTCTCACCATAGTTTTTTAAAAGCGAATTTTACAAAAATAATAGTAATAAATAATATTTCGAAATGACTGTCGTATTTGTTAGCTAGCTGTTTACTGTGGTAATAAATTAAAATAGACTAATACCATATAATATTCTACTCACAGGAATTACCATGCGAAAACGTAATTTTTGATCTCCTGTTCTGAAGACAAATTCTAAATACAGCACCAATCATATGTGCCATTTTGTTTAAAAAACATTCCCATTCTTTAAAAACTAAAAATTTATCAAAAAAAGAAAAATCAAATTTTTATTATAGAAAAAACAAAATGACCACATATATAAATTCCAAATGTTCTCATCCTTCGAAGATGGATGTGATTATAAAAATGAAAATTTCGACGCCATTATTGACCGATATTACATTACATGTATTACTTACTGATAATAACAACTATAAATTTATTTTAATGCATATTTGCTTTTAATATCTATAATCTTTTCAAAAAATTTGCATAAATGCATTCGCAATGAGCAATTTGTTTGGTACATAATCATTCATAGAAAATTAAGGCACATGACAGTTGAATAGTGGGATAAAGACGGAGAAAGAATTAAAATGATGTAATAAAGATTAGCAAAAAGCATTGTATTAGTTCCAGACATTAAATAAGTTAACTGCTTTTTGTACTGTTTATTCATATTAACTTCGGACTGTATTAAAAATGAAAGATTCAATACGAGAGGAAGTTCTTTTCAACATCAACTATTTTCTAAAACTAAATATGCAAAATTATAAAATAAATTAAAATGTACTATGCACTGATGGAAAAAAACACGCCTAACTTTTGATCTACAGTACATAACTTTAACTACTTAACCTTACTATAACTTTAACTAATAATAACTCTTGATCTATACTACACATCGCATTATTACGTCTCATAACTCAATAGGTTCGAAGACCTCTTTCGATTCCCTATAAATAATTTTTTTTCTCTAAAAATTACATGGGGCAAAATTTGTATAACTTACAATGGGATACCTGAGAAAGACGTAGTGTGGGTATCTCGATCCTGATTGGTTGTTGAAAGGTGGCATTTGTTTACGTTTGCAACTGTTCTTTCCATTCTATATCGAGTAAAACAAGCCTCTCAAGTAACAATTCTCTTAAGTGACGCATTCCATATTTTTTCACAGAGATTTCAATTCTTTCACTATATATTTCTTACTTAACACAAAGACAGAAACGAAGCCTTGTAGAAAATAAATAAATTAATTATGCATTGAAGTTGTCAGGTGCGCAAAGCAAAAATATATAAAATATAAAAGACAGTAAAATATAAAAGATATAAACAAATAAAAATCTAAATTAAGTAAATGACAAAGACGATAAAGAATTATATTTTAACAAATTCGATGTGTGATACGGGGCTGTATTTAATTAACTTTGCGTTAAATAACATCCTAATTTAGGTGGAGAAACTGAGTTCAACTTTAAGACGCCCCGTTTTCCTTACAAACTATCAGCTGGAGCTGACGTCGTAGGTCACATGTGTGGGTATCCGTGAACTTCTTCTTCTTGAAGAGCCAGTACCCAATTCGAAATGTTTTCTAGCCATTTGTAATTAAAATGATAAACATAATTTTGGCATGGAGTGATTTTTGGATAAACAACTTTTATAATTGAGAGCAAAAAAATTTTGTTGTTGTTGTTATATTGGTTTGGATGCTTGGTTTCAGAAATAAATTGAAATAGGCAGAAAGTGCAGTTAACATTAAGAGGCTGTAAACGCGAAAATCAACGTATTAACAAGATCTTTCTGTGTGTGTGTGTGTTTAGTTCAGAACCTAAATGTAACAAAATAAAGAGGCCCCAAGTGAAAAATGCCAACGCCCAAGCTAGTCTAGAGTAATACCGTGCGTTGCAATTACATTTTATCGAAATCTAGTGCAAAGAAGTTTAAATATATTAATTTTGTTTCATTTTATAAACGCTGTTGAACAGCCGATCCAATTTTGAGTTTACGACTACGAATGTTCAACATCGTAGCAACGTAATTTTGAAACCAATCCAGAAGACAAGGGAACTCCTGGATCAAGTATTGGGGGAAAGTTTGTCTTCGTGGAGGGCTTTTTGCTAGAACTAACCCGCATTTGCGTAACATGGTGATGAAAACCTTCCAAGGTTAGCCTGACTGGAAGGGGACTCTAACCCACGACCTGATTATTGCTGAGGATATTTTTACGTCAGCACTGTGGTCGGTGCGAGCCGGGTGCAGAATTCGTATTGACCATCAGCCATTTCTGGGATTCGAACCCGGTTCACCTCTTTGGGAGGCGAACTCACTATCCCTTGAGTTACCACGGCTCAAAAATATGTTGATACCCATAATAATACGATACCCATTATAAATATACCAATAGACGTTGCGTCGGCTGCATGGCACATGCCTCTCCTCCTCAAAAAAAAATGTTTTTTGTTTTGTTTTATTTCTTCACGCTACGCCTATGACTGTGCCAAAAAAATTCAAATAAACTTACCATTTTATTAGAGGAGAGTTGACTTGTCTAGGACTGCATTTTTTGCCGATGTATTTCAGTAGGAGATGTTAGAGAATAATTATAAACGAGCGTCATATCTCACTTTACTATGACGGCCATTCGTTTATCCTTAGTTTGCAAAATGATATCTTTTAACGATTCATGAATCACGTTATAACGAGTTAATTCATAGATAGAACAAAAAAAGCGGATCAGTGCATCGGATGTTGAAAAAACGTTCGTAATTAGATTTTTTTTTAAAAAAGGCTTATTAATTTGCAATTCTTTATTGTGTTTACGGATAGTTGAAATCATATACCATTGAAAGTGCGAGAGTTTCTCGCTGGTTCTTTGGTATTTTCATTCATAAACCTATCGGGAAATAAATAATTGGGTAATAGTAAATTTATTCAATGAAATATTTTGTCAAATGTCTGTAATGTAACTATATACACATAATTAATAATATTTACATTATTTTACTATATTTCAATGGTAATCGTAAAAATTTACTATTAATTTTTTACGATTGTACAATTGACTAATGGTTATATATATATAACCTATGTAATATTATATATATATACATATATATATATATATATATATAAGTTAAATGAACAATTAACTTATTAATTAAATATAATTATTAATTATAAACTTATTATTTTTCTTTGTTTTTCTCTCTTTTTTATAATCATTTTGGTCTTTATTGTGATTTATATATACATATAATTTCCATCGTACTGAAAAATAAAAATAAATCACAAATTGACATATTTTTTGGTGTAACGTTAATGTTTTGTGGGAATAAAAAGTTGTAAACCACTATGTTCAAACACTTTTCACATTTATTTATTAAAATTTAATTAAATTAAAAAAAAGAAGCTCACTTAC